CCCCCGCGGAAGGAAGCGGTGCACAGGATACACGCCCGGTCTGGAGCAGCAGCATGGCACGCGTTGCGCCAGGGGGAAGAGGACCCAAACGCCAGCCATTTATTGCCCCAAGTCAGGATTTTGGGCGTACCAGGTTACCCCAGATTTCCCCATTGAAGATTTCATCCTTTAAAAACCGTAGACAAGCCTGGCACAGTTGTGCATGCCGGTAATCCCAGCGTCTTGGGAGGCTTAAGTAGAATGATCAATTTAAGGCTAGTCTCAGCAATTTAAGGAGACCTTACCTCAAAAAGCAAAAGCAAAAAAAAAAAAAGCACTTGGGACTGGAAGTCAGTGGTAAAAGGCGCCTGGGTTGGGGGGGGGGCGGTTGAGAAGGGCAGTAACTCACCAGAGTTGCAGCTTGCTGGGCTGTTTGCCACGCTCCAGCTCCAGTTACCACTCACCAACCCCACAGAACCTGGCTTAGGCTCCCCCTCCAGGATGCAAGTGTTCACTGTTTCTATCTTTCTCAAACTTTTACAGGGTGAGGTAACTAACTGCCAGCTGGAAACAGGGTTGCTTCAGATAGCGAYGGATAAACAGCACAACCACTACTTTTGAATAGGAGAGGGGGACACCTCCAGATTAAGTGGAAAGGGAGAAATGACAGGGCCCAGCATCATCATGACATCCCAGTGTATCAGTGACACCAGAAGAGAAGCACGAAGAAGGAAACCATCGGTATATAAACTATTTATTAACAGAAAAGGCCTACAGACTCATTTCTTCTTAGACACACCCACGGTGCGGCCGCGGCGCCCAGTGGTCTTAGTGTGCTGGCCTCGGACACGAAGGCTGCAGGTGGAAAAAAGAAGTGTCATACACAGCACAAWGATCTGGAATAATAATGAGGCATCGCTGTGGGAATTTAGGAGCAGGCAGGGAGGTAAAAGCCCCATTCCCACTTACCCCCAGAAGTGGCGCAGTCCCCTGTGGGCCCTAATCTTCTTCAGTCGCTCTAGGTCCTCGCGGAGTTTATTGTCTAGACCATTGGCCAGAACCTAGATTTGGAGACAAGAGATGTATTTTTGTTCCCTGACCTGTGCCCAGCTCTATAGGAACCCCCAAATCCTCCTATCTCAATACACACCTGGCTGTATTTTCCATCCTTTACATCCTTCTGTCTGTTCAAGAACCAGTCTGGGATCTTGTACTGTCGTGGATTCTGCATAATGGTGATCACACGTTCAACCTGGTAGGCAGGACAAATTAAATTTAGATGGCCGGTCCCCTTTCTAAGGTGGGCCCAACTTCCAGCCCCCTTCAGTGTCCTCACCTCATCTTCAGTGAGTTCTCCAGCCCTCTTGGTGAGGTCAATGTCTGCTTTCCTCAACACCACATGAGCATACCTTCGCCCCACACCCTGAGGTTAAGAGGTTTCAGAATTAGATTTGAATCTGAATTTTTGGTTTCCCTTAAAGCCCCAATATTAAAAAAGCCAGCAAAGATAGGAAAGCAATAATTTAATGCTTTGCAATTTCCTAGATCACTCTTCTCTCACATTCCCAGATATAAAGCCTAACCATTAAATACAAAGGAGAAAGAACTTGATTCAGGGTAAGGGCTGGACCAAAGAAAGAAATCCARGATGAGTCCTTTTCTTCCTCCTCACTGCCCAGTGTATGTAGGTGTGCTTTGTAATTCCTCCATCATGAAGAATAAAGGCCTCTTTCTCCAAGCTGATATAGCAAAACTGGAGTCCTGTGAGTTAACAAGGTTGATTAAGATGCTGGACTGCCAGCTGTCAGGATCTCTAAGTTTAACAATTCTTTTGGCAAGTCAACAGTGACCAAAGTTTTCCATGTTCACAAAATCAAAATTTGCCCTGGTTTCTAGTACATAGGGAGCCTGCCCAAATTAAAACTAATGTTCACATTTGTCAAAACACAGCAACCAGCACCCAACTCTTTGAATCTATAAACCAAACTAATTTGGATATTGAATGTTGTACTGAGTTGAATAGTACTCCCCACCTGTTTTTGTCCACTTAGACTGCCAGAATGTGACCTATATCCCCTTTGTAGAAGTGTTAGGTAAAGTAAGGTCCCACTGGATCAGGGTGGGCCCCAATTCCGATGATTGGTGAACTTATGAGCACACACAGACATAGGATAGACGATGATGGGAGATAGAGAGGAATTAGTTGTTTTAAGCTACATTTGCAGTAACTTGTAATAGTAACCCTAGGAAAAGAAAGCATATGGCACTTCCTCTCTGTAAGTGACTTAGGACCAAATATCAAATATTGTGTAGAGTGCCTCTCAAATTTACTTAAAAATATTTATTATCTCATATTTACTTCAAAACGAAAATGGGTATGACTGAAACAAGATTTCTAATTTTTAATTTGTGACCAGGTCTTGCTAAGTTCCCCAGGACGGCCTGGAACTTGAGATCCTCTTGCCTTAGCATCTAAAGTAACTGGGATTATAGGTGAGCACCACTGCTCCTGGCCCAATTTTTAGTTAGAATATACAACTATGAAATGTTTCATTTCCTCATCTTTGTAATCCAAAAGCCTGACTGTATTATAGAAGAGTTAACACCAACTTGATATTACTCTTTCAAAGTATTTAAAGCAGAGCCACTCATGGGGGGTACAGGGGTTTGGGTAGGACAAGAATTTCTTTTAAATAAGGATAATGGGCATTTCCYAATTTCAATCTCCCCTCTACCAATCTTCCAATTCCAAATAGCCAACAATTAGCAGTTAACACCCTGGGATGAAGGCATAGGCCAGCCCTAAAGAATACAAGCAACAATGAAGAAGCCGAAAAGMCAGCCTCAGGAACTTAGCAAGGCTCAAACAACTCAGTAAGATCCTATATCTAAATAAAATCTGAAAAAGGACTGGGGATGTGCTCTGAGTTCAAGCCCCAATCCCCGGTACCAAACAAAAACAAACACACACACACACACACACACACACACACACACAAAAAAAAAACCGAGGAAGCCATTATGGCATGAAATAATTTCACAGGATCTATGTTGTCTCTCAATAAATACCCTCTTCTGTCCATGTAAACTTCTTTGTCCTTATTTTGCTATCACATCTTTGGAGACCCCCACCCCCCAATAACCAACCTCTCAGTATCCTTTCAATTACTTCCCATCCCCTATACAAATCCTTTAAAAAGACAATCTCTAGGGCTGGGAATATAGTTCAGTTGGCAGTGCTTGCCTTGCATGCACAAGGCCACTGATTCAATTCCTAACACCACACACCCACAAAGACATATTTAGGGCTGGGTTTGTGGCTCAATGGTAGAGCACCTGCCCAACATGTGAGGCACTGGGTTAGATTCTCATCACCGCATATAAATAAAGCCCCATTGACAACTAAAAAATAGACAATCTTTAGTTCTTCCACCAGGGAAAAGTTCTAGCTGACTTTGATGGTTTTCTACACAAGTATTAAATAAAAATTTTTACAAACCTTATAAAGACTTACTCCATAAGTTATCTTTTTGATAACTATACACCCATCTTTACCCAAGTACCATCCACTGCCCAACAGGTACAACTACCATATATCAGAAGCTGTAGGTGATTAAGACATGCTGAGCCCCACCCCTATGGAGGCARGAAAAACATTCAGATAATCCCACAATTAAATATATGTTTTGACTGAAACAGGGAAAAAGAGGYTAGGGATGAGGTTTGGTGGTGCACAGCATGTGACAGACCAAGTTCAAATTCCAGTGCACCCCATACAAAGTTTCCATCTGGAAGATCAGAAATTCTTTGTGAAGAGAAACATCCAAGCTTTCACTGTTTCAATTCTTACAAGCCATTGACTAGTGATGGGTTTCCACTTCAACTGGTTAGGAGCTGTACTTTTCACCTCTGGCATCCTGCTCACACACACCCCCCCACTTCACATTTGGTATCTGTTAACCTTTCTATTCACCCCTCAAGATGTACAGTACAGAAATTATATTATAATGCACTGGGGAAGAGAAAAGGTCCTGAAGAAACTGAATCTAGAAAGGATCTCACAAACTGATAATCCAAGAAAATTTGGATTCGATTCTGGCTTTTACTAATTCCCTTTTGTGAGAAATATGCTAAGGGTTAAGGGAATAAAGTCATTCTCTTTTTCATTTCTTAACCCTGAAACTGAAATAACATAGACGGACTTGTGTCTCCTCAATCTTGCCTCTTTTCTAGAGAGCTAAGGTCTTAATTACCCAGGTTGCATTTGGGTTTCCTTACCCTACTTTACCTTAATGGCAGTGATGGCAAAGGCTATTTTCCGCCGCCCATCGATGTTTGTGTTGAGTACTCGCAAAATGTGCTGGAACTTTTCAGGAATCACTAGAGACTGAAAGGATATGGGGGAGATACAGGCATCGTCAACTAGCATCAAACCCTAAGGTCGCTAAGGAGAAGAAACAACCCCCAAAAGGAACTTTAGGCTTGTCAGAGCGAATACCCCCTCCCTTTTTAAGATTTCAAGCCACATCTAACGCCTCAGTCCACAGGGAGCGGGAATGTGAATCGTTCAAGCTTGGGAAAATGCAACCTCTTGAAGGAGGTTGCACGTCGGCCGTTCCTAAAAGTACACTCTGGGGGAAGCCGGAGTCCCCACAGACGCCCAAGACTCTGGCACCTTTGGGTGCCCGGGGAGCGATTCTTCCTCGAACCCTACTCCCCGGAATTTCAAGGTTTTGGCGTCCCTTCCCAGGGTTGCGATCCAAGGCTCCACATAGAAAGTTGCAGGCCCCCCAAATAGGGCGTTCTTGGTATCCTGGCAGCAAACTTTCCCTGACCCGGTTCCGATGTCGCTGGATCCCGGCACCGAATACAGTCTTACCATGGCGGCAGCAGAGCGGCGGCGTGTAGGCCTCCTGTGGAAGAGAGAGCGGAAGTTACGTAATAACCTTATATAGTTCTTAGACGGAAGAGGCGGAGCAATATAGGAGAAGCACTTCCGGACACTGCTCCARCGGGAGTTGACTTCTGAGAGTCTGGATTGGGTACCACAACTTCCGTTGTGGCCTTTCCAGGCGTAAAGTTCCTGAATATAAAAGCAGAGAAAGTTCYGGCGCGAGACTGTGCTCAAGATTTCCAAATTTTCTCTTCGCGCTTGAGTGGTCAGAGCTGAAAGGGGAAAGCTGAAGCCACACAATCTAACTCAAATACCTGGGAACCATTTTGTGCTTTGCAAGACACTCTGGGACTTGTAGTTCTACTTCGGGAACGGCCTCACTGGGACTGACAGCTGCCGGAAGTGAGGCTGCGGGGAATGGCCGCCGCGGCGACCATGGCGGCAGCTGCCCGGGAGATGGTGTTGCGGGCTGGGACCTTAGATATGGAGGAAGAGGAGGGCCCGCTGGTGAGAGCGCGGGGCTGTTGGTCCTCCGTAGTCTCGTCCGGTCGTCCTCGTGTCCGAAAGATCTGGGTCGAGTTTAAGCCCAAGGGTTGGAGCTTGCCTGCCACCGGTGATGCTATGTGTTTGGCTCCTCATACCCATCCTTGGGATAGGACCCGAGCCTCAGTGGGGACCAGGATGGCTGGAACTCAGGTTCCAGGAGCACAGTCTCAATTTCGCATTCATATATATATATATATATAATTTTTTTCTTTTGTAGAATAGTGAAACAATCTAGTATAAAGCTTAAGAACATAGCCTCTGCAGCCAGACTGCCTGGGTTGTAATTCCACCCTCTGCTACTTAGACACTATGTGTTCTTGGGCAAATTAACCATGCTCTCTGCCATCACCTTCCACCACTTCTCCATAAAGTGGAGAAAATAAGAGGACTTACCAAATAGGTAGTCGTTAGGATTAGATGAATAAGTATGTGTAAGACTGCACCTAGTGTACAGGTGAACATTATGTGCTGACAATTCTAGGAAGTCTGGGGTTCCCCAGAGGTATGATAGAACTGCTGAGATATGAGTTTGAGGGTACTAAAGTGAAATGCAAGTTTTGCTCATTCCTCTGCGATTTCTATTTTTCCTGATTTTGGACACCTCCACTGTCTTCATGGATTGCCTAATTTTTGTTTTTTTGGTACCCTTTAGCCCAAAGGAGAGTATATTGTAAAAATTAGAAGTTCTTGATTTAGTACTTACGGTTTCCCACTAAAAACACCCTCCCTTCACTTAAAGGATTAGGGAGATCCAATTATATTTTGTTCTCCTCTCTCCTGTATCCCCTTCTCATTATTGTATCCCTTCCCAGGGGGGTGGTCCTGGGCTTCAGGAGACACTGCAACTTGGGGAGTTGGATATCACCTCTGATGAGTTCATCCTGGATGAAGTAGATGGTAAGTAATGGCATAGGGKAGGATCAGAGTTCGCTAGTTCCTCTTATCCTCTGGGAATATGTTACAGGACTTCCCTGTGTCTAGTAGATGAGCCCTGGTACCAAACCCTATACATACTATGTTTTTTCCTGTATATGCATAACTATAAATTAAGCATAGTGAAATATTAACAATAACTAATGATAGAGCAATTGTAACTATGTTGTAATAAAATCACCAGCTTCACTACTCTTGCATTTTGGGGCCTTCACTTAGTAAAATAAGGGTTATTTGAATGTAGTACTTCCATAAATAGACAATTGATCTGATAATTGATAAGGCTATTAAGTAACTATGTGGCTGGTAGCATATATAGCATGGATACGCTGGACAAAGGGATGATTCACATCCTGGAATAAAACAGGATGGCACAAGATTTCATTAAGTTACTCAGAATGGCATACAATTTAAAATTTATGAGTTGTTTATTTCTGAAATTTTCTATTTGGGTTCATGGTTGACCACAAGAGACTGAAATAGCAGAAAGTGAAACTATCTGAGAGGGTTATACCTGTAATCTGAGAGGCATAGGGTTAGAAGCAATAGTACAGGGACTGATGTTCTGATGTTCAACGTGGGGAGAAGAAGCTGTGGTGCTGGACCTTATGATAAACTTCTATTTCCAGTTCACATTCAGGCAAATCTGGAGGATGAGTTAGTGAAGGAAGCTCTCAAAACGGTGAGCRTCTACACTATTAATCTTTCCCTTCCCTCTTCGCTCCCCCAAAGAAGAAAATAATCTCTTGCTCTTACAATATCACCTTGGTGTCTTACCCTCTTGTCCTTTTCTGATTCTGTTCTGGTGTCCCTTCACTGTGATTTCTTTCTGACCTGTCATATTTATGTTCTCCCAGGGTGTGGATCTACGCCACTACTCAAAGCAGGTTGAACTGGAGCTRCAACAGATTGAGCAGAAATCCATTCGGGATTGTATCCTCCAGCAAAGGGAAAAGACATTGTTATTGACTTGGGGATTTTGTGGGTGTGGTGCAGACTGCCCAGCTGTGGCTGACATTTTCTTTCTGAGGTTTTCAGTTACTTCAGGGAGAAATTGGAGATGTACCACAGGTCTGAGGATCTCAATCTTCACTGTGAGGCCCTTGACTTTTGTGGATTAGATATCCAAGAGAGTGAGAATATAGCATCTCTGCACAACCAGATCACAGCCTGTGATGCTGTCCTGGAGGTTAGTAACCTTCGCCTGTGACCTCTTATAACTCTGAACCTGATTATGGTCTCTYGTGCCATTCTTTAGATCATTATCTTCAGTGACCCCAGGTGAGGGTCACTTTCAGGATGACTTCGAATAGACTTTTTTGGTTTTACTGCTATAACTCAAGTTATTTTCCTGTGTCCTTTGGAGTGTCTTCTGCCACCCTCGTGGACTGGTAGATACTAGACTATTTACCAAGAGACTCAGGTGGCCCATTTGTCCTCTACCAAACTTGTGACACTCTAGCCACATCTTATACTATTCCCTCAGCGCATGGAGCAGATGTTAGGAGCTTTTCAGAGTGACCTCAGCTCCATCAGCTCTGAGATCCGGATACTGCAGGAACAGTCAGGAGCCATGAACATTCGACTTCGAAACCGCCAGGCAGTTCGGGGRAAACTTGGGGAGCTTGTTGATGGTCTGGTGGTGCCCTCTGCTCTGGTCACGTGAGTCACTGGTTTGAAAGGTCAGAATGTCTACAGCAGGTAGATGGGCCGGGGTGACCTTCCCTATTTACCATCTGAGTCTCCTGGCTCAAGTCATTCTGTTCCTCCTAGAAATTAGTGAGTAGGTTGATAGTCATTTCTAACCTCATTTTATGTTCTAGGCATCAGAGATTAGGAATGATCCAAGGTCGGTCATGAAGGAAGGGGGCCCAAGGTTTAGGTGTGTATGAAGTAGAGGTCTAGGAGTAGAAACCTTTGTTGTACATACATCTAGACTATGTGAGACACTGTAAGAAGGTGGAGAGGATGAGGCTAGATGTACTGTTTGGGTCAGGTTTAGAGACATCTGGACTTCCCTTCTAATCCATCCCACCCATCCTCCCTACCCAGGGCAATTCTAGAGGCTCCAGTGACAGAGCCTAGATTCCTGGAACAGTTGCAGGAGCTGGATGCCAAGGCAGCCGCAGTCAGGGAGCAGGAGGCTAGAGGCACTGCAGCCTGTGCAGATGTCAGAGGTGTGCTTGATCGGCTCCGGGTCAAGGTAGGGGATACCTCAAAGGCTATTAGAACTGGCCTCCTTGGAAACATCACCTTGTCTCTTCCTAGGAGATCTCATCTTTGTTTCTCTGGGTTTCCCTGGAAATATGACAGGATACTAAGAAATATTCTCTGCCCTTTGTCATATATTTAGTATTTTTCACTTTCCCTTGTTTATCCTGCACAGTAAAAGGGTTACAACTTCATGCCCTGTGTTTGATTACTTGTGTCTAGGCAGTGACGAAGATCCGAGAGTTCATCCTCCAGAAGATTTATTCCTTCAGGAAACCAATGACCAACTATCARATCCCTCAGACAGCCCTACTGAAGTACAGGTCATCACCCCAAGGAAGGGCATGGGATGGCTTCTGAACTTTTGAGTAGCCCAGTGCATGCGTCTTTTTTGGGGAAGACAGAAAGACTGACCTATCTCTGGCCTTTACAGATTCTTTTATCAGTTCCTACTGGGCAATGAACGAGCAACAGCAAAGGAAATCAGGGATGAGTATGTGGAGACGCTGAGCAAGATCTACCTGTCTTATTACCGCTCTTACCTTGGGCGGCTCATGAAGGTGCAGGTAAGGCCAAGGAGGAAGAGGTAGTTCTGGACACATGGACTAGGAGACAGGGACAGCTCTGAGCAAGGAGGGACAGGGATTTTTTTTTTCTTGCACTATTATAAGAGATGGTTACCAGCTCTTTTATTTCTTCTCTCTAGTATGAGGAAGTCGCTGAGAAAGATGATCTAATGGGTGTGGAAGATACAGCGAAGAAAGATATCCTTGGGGCTGAGAACTCTCATGCAAGGCCTTGGGAGCATGAAACTTCTGGCTCCAGCCACCAAGGCACTGCTTCTTACCTTTTTATTGTGGGGCAAAACCTTTGAGAATGTGATGAAAGCTATGGCCTCCCTCCCAGAAAAATGTGTATGATCTTTTTTTTTTTTTTTTTTTTGAAATATATATTTTTTAGTTGTAGTTGCACACAATACCTTTATTTTGTTTATTTATTTTTATGTGGTGCTGAGGATTGAACCCAGCGCCTCACATGTGCTAGTCCTGCACTCTACCATTGAGCCACAACTCCAGCCCATACATCATTTTGACACCTAGTTTTGCATATTGATTCTAGAAGGTGTAGAAACTCATTCATAGAGGTCATCTGAAATGGGGCCCCAGGCATGGAAAGAGGGATGTGTAGGCTTTGTCTGGCTGCCTGGCATCCCCAGAGGTCCTGAATCTTTGGGCACCTTTGTACTCCCRTTGTTTTCCCTGACTCTGACCCTTCTCACGATTCTTCTCGAAGCCATCCCTCCGTAGCAGGAACACCATCTTCACCCTGGGCACCCGTGGCTCTGTCATCTCTCCTACTGAGCTTGAGGCTCCCATCCTGGTGCCCCACACAGCCCAGCGGGGAGAGCAGAGGGTATGAGGARGAATGAGCTTCAGTTGTGAAGAGGACTCTGGGAAGGGAAGGCCAGACCTGGGGCAAAACTTCAGCCTGTTTGTCCTGTATTAATCCCCTTAGAATGGCCTTCTCCCATCCCTCTGGTCTGCTGTGATGTGAGAGGGGTTGGGAGCYATAGACTTCAGGGCATGTGGAGGGAGTGAGTGGTTAAGGGGAATGACTGTTTTGAGGCAGTGGTTGAGGTGGATGCGGGAGTTACAGAARCAGGTGAGGTGAGCACTTCCTCTTGTGTCCTGTGCCTGCCAGTTTAGAGTCTTTCCCAGCCTGGACTGAGGTTGGATGGGAAGGGTCTGCTGAGTTTATCACCCAGGTTTGTTGAGTTTCCAGCTGTGTTGGTGGAGAGTCAGTGTTGGATCCATCTCTCCTTTGTCCTCCCCTCCTAGTATCCATTTGAGGCCCTCTTCCGMAGCCAGCACTATGCCCTCCTAGACAATTCCTGCCGTGAATATCTTTTCATCTGTGAATTTTTTGTGGTGTCTGGCCCAGCTGCRCACGACCTATTTCATGCTGTCATGGGCCGTACGCTCAGCATGACCCTGGTGAGATCCTTATTTCCTTGACTCTTGAACCCCTGTCTCTTTAGTCCTCATCAGCACCTGGTGGGGTTATAACTCAGGTACTGACTAAAACCAGGATCYCCTTGTTCTAAAATGTCTAAGCCTTATACTCAGATGTGACTTCTCATGAGAAATTCTCAAGAGTTTGGGCCTCTGATACTGCCCCTACTGCTGATTCAAAGGCAGGCAGTTGTACCCTGAAACTGAGAGGCCTCTAAATGTTGGTGCTCTGATGAACCAATCTGAGCCCTGAACTATGATAGGCTTGTGATTGACACCCTGGTGAACAAGTGGCCAACCAAGGAAGAAGTATTTCCCTCTTAGGTCTTTCCCTGCCCAGTCCCTCATCCCCAAAGACACGTATATTTATGTGTCCATAGCAAATGGGAACAATAAATTAACTAGCATTCTCTTAATCCTCTGCTTATTTCTAACAGAAACACCTGGAGTCCTATCTGGCTGACTGCTACGATGCCATTGCTGTTTTCCTCTGTATCCATATTGTTCTTCGGTTCCGCAACATTGCAGCAAAGAGGGATGTTCCTGCCCTGGACAGGTCACTGAGTTCTGGTTCTTGAGGCTCTGCAGATCTTGAATTCTTTGTGTGAACTTTGGGCTTCTCCTGACCTGATGTCATTGATCCTTGTTCCCATTTGTCTGCTCCAGAGGCAGCACTGCTATTTTCTGACATACCTTTCATATACACCCRGCACCCCAATATCCATTAACCTGAAGGATGCCCTATTCCCTCCCCACCCCCTAACATTTCTTGCCAGCTGACCTCTGATTCTGTTTAAGCCCACAGGTACTGGGAACAGGTGCTTGCCTTACTGTGGCCACGGTTTGAGCTGATATTAGAGATGAATGTCCAGAGCGTTCGAAGCACTGACCCCCAGCGCCTTGGGGGTCTGGATACTCGGCCCCACTATGTGAGGGAGGGCAAGGGTACCAAAGAGGGTCTAGAGGACAGGGCTGTAAGCTTAYTGTGGGGCTGCCACTGTCACAGTTGTGGACCACACCATGTAAGGGGATAGTCTAAGAGTATGGTCAGACTCACAGTGGGTTGGGCACTGTTGGTAGGAGGCATTGGAGGTGGGAGCCACATGGAGGTTGGTTGGTGAAAGGAGCGGGGAGGTTGTGATGGTTGGGCTGGTGTGATTCTTCTCCCCCCTTTCTCTAAGATCACACGCCGATATGCAGAGTTTTCCTCAGCTCTTGTCAGCATCAATCAGACGATTCCCAATGAACGGACCATGCAGCTGCTGGGACAGCTCCAGGTGACTTCCATAGTGCAGGAGTGACTTTCCAACAGCAAAGCCACTGCTGTGGGGGAGCATGAAGAGGGGTTGGATGACCTTGTTGTATTGTGTCACTRTGTCCTTTTGACTTTTTCAGGTGGAGGTGGAGAATTTTGTTCTCCGAGTGGCAGCTGAGTTCTCCTCGAGGAAGGAGCAGCTTGTGTTTCTGATCAACAACTATGACATGATGCTGGGTGTGCTGATGGTAATGGATTCTCTTCCTGCCTGTTTCCCCACCCACAGAGTTTGGGTTCCCCTAGGGSTCTGTTTACTTTGGAAGGGCAGAAGGTGATGTCTGTGTGCTTGTTCCATGTTTTACTCTAGGGAGTCTGGCACAGTGTCTGAAATGTGGACCATCCTGTAGTAAAGGACTGCTCTCCCAAACTGGACTTTTCATTTTTTTCTTCCTTTAGGAGCGGGCTGCAGACGACAGCAAAGAGGTGGAGAGTTTCCAGCAGCTGCTCAATGCTCGGACACAGGTGGGGGATKGGGAAAGGGAAGGGACAGTGTTGTGTGCTGTATTCAGTTTAGTGTGTGGGTTGGGGGTATGTGGCATTATGAACCTCAGGTACGTAGAATTTTGATTTAAACTTCTGGATTCACAGTATGTTATTGATCYATTTAATTTTTTAATTTTTTGGTGRTACTGGAATAGAACYCATGGTCAGTTTACCACTGAGATACATCCTGGAACCTTGTAAATTTTTATTTTAA